CTGCTCTCTGTCCTCATGCAGCTCATGTGATAACTTCACCAAGAACTGAGAGCATGGGAGATGAGGACAACAAAGGGAAAAATACTGCCTGGCCTTAAGTTGCTTCTAGTCCAGCAGACAAGAGACCAAAAAGTAAAGGGGTTCATTTCAAGCCAACCACAGTTGATGGCATAAGAACCCTAGGCTAAGGACTAGGAGGGGCCCTCAGGGTGTCAGTGGCTCAGTGGAGCCTCTCCCACCCACACCATTGGTCCCAGGTATACCTCTGCCCCTCCTCTTCTGGCCCTGATTCTATACCCCTTCTCCCCAAGTCATGGAGGGGAAGATCTGTTAAACTCACTTACTAAAGAGTTAATTATTTTCCATGTTTCAAAGGGTTGGTAATGAGAAAGAATGTGGTTTTTTTTTTTAAAAAAAAAAAAAAAGGATAATTCTCATCTCAAGTGAAAATTCTTTAAGGCAGAGTTTCAGGCACCACAGGTGTGTTCAAGTGAAAGGGCTTTCCTGGAAACTCCTGAATCACACCCCACAGGAAGCCACCTCTGGGCAGCAGAGAGGCTTCGTCATACACCCCTAAGCTGCTGGCCTTTCTGCTGTCCCAGCACCCCACTCCCTAGAGCCCAAGGCCACAGTCAGACTGTGTGCATCCCAGACGGCTGTGCGCAAATATTTACATAGCTCCTCTCAGGCAGAAAACAGGACAGTAAGGAGCCGCCCTCCCGACACTTTCCAGACCCAGTTTAAGCAGATGAGGTAGACAATACCCTAAGCTGCCTCATGCTGCCTCAACCCTGGATGAACCAAAACAGAAAGCCCCCAGTAAGTCAGGGCAATCTCCTAGAGCCCTGGACACTGGGGAGGAGCTGCAGTTGGGCAGTGTTGAGTGGGAAGAGGCAGCTGAGGAGCTCTGACCAGAGAGGTATCCAAAGTCATCTCATCTGGCCCTGTCCCCAAGTTGCACCAGGTGCTGGCCAGGGAAATGGAACATCTCAGACCAAGGTGAAGGGAGCCTCCCTCCATGGGAAGCAGCTCTTTATGCCTGTCTTTGGTATCCCGGCTCATTCCAGTCTGCTCCCATCTCAAGAAGCCAGGAACACCAGTGGGAACCAGTCTCTCTCTGGCCTGCCTTTTCAGCCTCAAAACATCTGGGATCCTCTAGAAATGCTTCCTTTATCACCAACCCAGACTGATGGAGCTCTAAGGACCCAAGGAGTAGGGACAGCAGAAGACAAAGAGGCAGGCAGTAGGAAGGGGGTGGGAGATCAGAGCAGGGATTCTGATTTATGAAGACAGGAAGGCCATGGGTAAAATCGAGGAGAGAGGTCCAGGAGGAAAGGCCTCAGTGTGGAGGATCACAGCAAGCCCTGCCAAGAGCCACTGGGGCAAGAAGTGACTGTACAGCACTTGGGAGGCCAGGGTCGGAGGTGGGGACAGAAAACCAGTGAGCATAGGGACCATCCCTAGGGCTCTGGCCTCCCACAAGCCCTGGGGCAGAACAACTGCCAGCCCCCACCCTTCCCACCACTCTGGCGGCTTCAGCTGCTGCAGTGGGGCCTCTGACCCTGTTGCCATGGCAACCGGCCTACAGCTGGAGTGAAAAAGCTTCAGACTCTCCTCCAGAGACACCCCCACCTCCACCCACGCACAGGCTCCCAGGGACATGGAGAGCAGGCCAGGACTGTCAGAGGTGTGGGGAGCCAGAGAGAGGCATGAAGAAAGGCTCAGGATGCAGAGGGAAGGGAAAAATAGAGACTGATGTAGGGAGAAGGACATAAAGATCAGGGAGACAAAGTCCCCAACCAGGTGGCAGCAACTCCAGCAGATAAAGGCAGACAAAGGTAAGGAGGCCAGAGGGTGGGTACAGGAAGTGAAGCAGAGACGCTGGGGCACAGGCAAACAGAGGCCTCCAGCCAGGAGGTGAAAGCAGAGAAATGGAAACAAAGACCACAAGAACAGAGAAAGACAGAGAGTGGAAAAGCCCACAGATCAAAGAGGAGAGACAAGGAACAGGGGTGTGTACCAGCCAGCACCTGCTCCTGAGGCACCACCACCCACCTGCCGTGGGGGCAGCCAGCGGGGTGTTACTGCCCCAGCCCCGTACTGCTGGGCTCTGCTCCCAACTGCATCTTGACTTGACCCTGGGCCTGACTTAAGGGGCAACTGCACAAGCCAGTAAGCAACTCCACAGCCCCTGGCACCCCATGTCTCTCCCTCCAGCCCACCCCTACCTCCCAGCAGTCCCAGCAACTGAATAATCAGGCTGTCTGGCTCTAGGCCCTGATACTGCACAGAGCTGTGCTAGAGGCACCAACACAGCACAGCTGTCTGCAGTGGCGCCTGCCAGCAAAAGGCCCGCCTCCTTCCCAGCCACCCCTACCTCATTCCCCCATGGCTAACCCAGGCAGAGACTCTGTAAAAGGGTCAGACAGAAATAAGAGGTGGCATCAGCATTCCTCATCCATCCCTCCTTCCTCAGCCCATGTACACATGAGCACACACAATCCACCTCAGGCCACCGCAATCAGTGCAAGGGACTGAGTTGAAGCAGGGGAAGGGAGGAGGAAGAACTCTGTCTCCATCCCAGGCCCAGAGCATCAGGGTAGAGATCAACTTAGGGCAAAGGCTAGCCAGCCTGTTGGTGAGAACCAGTGCTGGGTTACCCAATAAGCAAGATAATTACAGGCTTACTTGTGCTAACCTCTTAATCTGTAGTGAACACATTTTTTCACCAAATCAAAGATCTTGCTTCTAAGTATGGCTGGCACTTGTCTCTCTCCCAACCCCACAGCATCTTCCTACAGAATTAAAGCCTTCTTTCAAATGTATAATCCCTGACAGGGACAGAGTACCCAGTAAGCAAGGTAAGCACAGGTTTTGGGCTTATTTACCAATCTGTAGTGAAGTTTCACATTTTTCACCACATCTTTGATTGTGAAATTGTTCGCTACAGATTAGTTAGTAAGCACAAATAAGTCCATGCTTACCTTGCTTACTGGGTAATCTGCCCCTGGAACAGAGAAAGGCAGGTTTTCTTGACTGGGCCCCATCTGAGGTAGTCACATGGACAATGGAAAAAGGCTTAGAATTGGAGGCTATGAACTAGTCCCACTCCCTCCAGATTCCCTGGTAACCAGACCTCTGGTTCTCAGTTTCTTCATCGGTAACTTGAGTGTGTGGGATTAAATGATCCTTGAGGTCATCTCCAGCTTCAAGATTCCATGACAGCACTTCTGCAGAAGGGGCCCCATGGCCATCCCTGTCCCAAAGGAGATAAGAGGGCCAACTCCACCAAGGAGGGTCACACACATACTCTGGTCAAAGATTGAAACCTTTAGGTGCCTCTTGCCAGGGTCCCAATCACACAGCATAAGTCAGTGGCCATAGGGGTACTGGCAGATGTCTACAATTCAAATCACTCTTTAAAAAACTTGACAGCATAATTGTGAGGTTCCTAAGTGAGGCACGTTATCCAATTTTGCAGAAGTAGAAACAGGCTCAGCAAAGGTAACTGACTTGTCCATATTATATAATTTCAAGTGTTAAACCTGAACCCATGACTCATAGGCATGCTCTTTTCATTACTCCAGGGTTTTCAAACTTTTAAAGTAAATTTTTAAATGAAGTAATGTATAATATATAGATGTAACTATTCAGGTGTCATTTTTAATATATGACAAAGTGGGTTAGGTCCTGGTCAGAAAGACATGGGTTCAATTTCCAACTTTGCTACTCTCTGGTTGTGTGGTTTTGAGGAAGCTGTTTAAATTCTCTGAGCTTCAATTTCCTCATCTATGTAGAGATGAAAATAGCATCTACTTCCCAGGGTTATTGTGAAGGTGACATGGGACAGTGCCCACACATTGTGTGGAGTCATCAGCCAGTGTCAGCTATCTGGAGATAACTAGACAGAGATAAAAGTACATCTGCTCTAATGAAGGCTCCAGGGATACATTAGTGAAAAAACAGAACTCTCTGCCTCCCAGGAGAACCTTTATTTGTTATGAGCAAATTCTCTTCCTAGGGATGACAGTGATGTCACAGAGTGTGCATGCCTGCAGATGCAGGGCCACATCAGCAAACTTTGATCACACAAAGAAGGCTGTGTGGGCCAAGGGCGTAGAGCATGCTCATTTTGCCTCATCCACAACAGAGGCAAGGTGTGTTCACTGCCTACAGAAGGTAAGCTCCATGAGAGCAAGAACCTGTTTGTTAACTGCTAAGTCTCCAAGAGCCTAGCACAGCACCTGGATCATATGTTCAATAAACGTCTGTGCAATACACACTGGTGAGCCCTACTGCACCACCCTCCCAGAGCAGAGCCCACTGCCAACAGGGCAGACCTCGCCCAGGGCTCTGTTTATTTGCTCTCCGGAAGCCTGGAGCAGCTGGACTGGGAGGCGACTGCTGAACAAAGACACCTGGCTTAAGTTGGGAGGGGGGTGGTTAGGAAGAGAGGAGCGGCAGGGCGTTCAACAGATGACACAAAGGAAACTGAAGGTGTAGGGCGAAGTACCCTACCAAAGCGCAAGTGAAGTGCAGAATAGAAAGGCAGGCGACAGGAGAGGGGCAGCAGACAGAATACTATGGGCCTCGTCTCGCCCTGCCTTCAGCGACATCTTCCCAGACCAGTCACCTGGCAGGAACAGCCTGAGGCTAGAGTCGGCGCCAAGCCCCAGCCTGTATCCTAACTCCATGGACGCACCTGACCTTCTGGCACCATCACACTTGACTCAACATGCCCACACCTACCCAGAAAGGAAGGAGGAACCATAGGCGCCAGACCCACAGCTGGCCCATTGGCCACCCGGAAAATCATCCCGCCAGAGTGAGGCGAAGAGACCCAGACCGCGCCTCCTGCCCAGAACACTGCCAGAGCCAGGGGTCCGAGGACGCCTCCTAGCGCTGGACGCCGGTGTAATTCACTCGAGAGTGCGCGGTTTTCCCGCCGCACACTCCCGCACCACGCCCAGTCCCCATGGCCACGCCCCGGCCCTGCCTACCATCCTTCCGGTAAAATGAGATCTCCACTTTGCGCTCCTCAGCGCCCAGCAGGGCCTGGGCGATCTGCGCCGCGGCGCGGCGTTGTGTGAGTGGCCCGTGCAGGAAGTCGCAGGTGCAGGGCCGCTGCATCACCTCCGCCCTCGAATAGCCACACAGCTCGCAGAAGCCGTCGTTGCAGTAGATGACGGCGCAGTTCTCCACTCGAGCGTTGGCGATGATAAACTTGCGGCCTGGGGGACGGGGAGAAGCAAGCACGTGAGCGGGCGACCCATGCCCCTCCCCACATTCTGGTCTCATACATAGCCGCCCTAGGACTCCCCGCCCCATCGGGCATAGCGGGGACTGGGGTCCTCAGCAGGGAGTGAGCGCAGCTGTGCCCCGACACAAGTGCCTCCGCGGAGCACACCCAGGCAAGCGCGCCCCCTCCGACCCCCCACCCCCACCCCCACCCGCGGGCTGACTTTGTGGCTTCCCCCGGGCAAGCAGCCAGCAGACCGCCGCCCCCTCTATGCCCGGGTTGAGGTCAGCCTGGGCGGGTGTCGGCAACGCGTGTCAGCAGTCGCGGGAAGGGATAAACATTGGTCTGGAGAGAGCCTGGGGAGAGCCGGACATGGCGCCCGGGTGCACCGCGGCCTCCCCTTTGTGCTAGCCCCTCTGGTTTCTAACTTTCGACCCACATTCTCTCAGACTCTGGGTGGGGGGGCGCTCCCTGGGCCACTCCTCACCACAGGGCTCCCTAGGATCTGTACCTTCCGGGTAGTCTTCCTCACCACCTCCAAGGGCAGTCAGGGACTGGATGAGGTGCAGCTAAAGAAATGAGGGAAGTAATATGCTTAACATCTACTCTGTGCTGCGTTCCTTATCTCAATACCCTAACATCCCTATAAGGTGTTGACTACCCTTGTTTTACAGATTAAAAAACTGAGGCTCAAGACGAATTAAGAAAACATGCCCAAGTCTTGTAGTTTGTAAATGACAGAACTATATTTTGAACCTAGGTCTGGTAGAAGGTGAAGGAGTAAGCTGAGGGTCCACAGGCAGAAGCCCAAGGTCATGGGGAGCATGAAAAGGTCCCTGCAGTTTTGAACCTGGAAATAACTGGAGTCCAGTGATGGACCTGAAATGGTAGCCGACTTGTAAGAAGACTGAGGCAGGATAGGTGGCCTTCCCCAGGAACATAAGGCCTTCCTCACTTTGGCCCCTTCAAAGAGAGAAGCCCCAATGGACCAATTTCACCTACACTTGGCTTACCACCCTCTTATCCCCACTATGTCTCCAGAGCCAGCCTGGCAGGTAAGTAAGCAGCAGGCAAGCAGCAGCTCCAGCCTGTGCCAGGGAAGATGCTCCAGGGATAGGAGCTTTTTATAAACACAGAAGTTTCCAGCCACTTTGACCTTTAATGTCAGGGCTTTCAGCAGCAGTCATAACTCTGCCCCCTCTCAGCCCCCATGAGCACAAACCTAGGCTGCAGCTTTGGGCAATTCCATGGGCAAGGTCCAGGCTGCTGCAGCAGGGGCTCCCTGAGGCAGGCTGCAGCCAGCAGGACCTGGCCTCTCCCACCTTCCTTTGCCTTCCCTTCCCCTAACCTCCAGGAAGTTACTTTTTAGAATTGGGTCATCTTTAGGTCACCTCCCCACGCCGCCCCAAAAAAACTTCCACATAGCCATCAACCCCAGATCACATGAAAAGACCCCCTGGCTCTGCTTCTGTCTCCACTCAACCTAAGGCAGTCCACAGGGCACCAATCACAACACCGGTTTCATGAAAGAAAAACCACCTCTTATCCTACCTCCAGGCCTTGGAGAAAAGAGGGAATTTCTTTGAAGGCAGGCCCTATGCCACCCCCACCACCTTCCCAAAGATCCTGGAATATTAGCCCAAAAGAGATCTTAAAGACCCCTTTGGCTTAACCACTCCCTTACAGGTGTGGAAACAGATCCAAAGAGGGAAAAGAGTCACTCAAGGTCAGAGGTGGGAGCAGAAGCCAGGGCCCTGAAACCCAGCCCAGTGTGCTTGCCTGCTCAGCCTCCTCTGGGGCTTGTGGAGAGGAAAACCCCTGGGTCCACCTCACCTCACTGCTGTCCACCAGTATCACTCTCTCCTCCCCCTTGAGATCATCCTGTTCCTCAGCTTCAGACAATGCTTCCCATTGGACTGACCCCCCCCACACACACACACACACCATGGTTACAAGCACACATTGTCCTGTGCTCACAGGGTCATGTGCAAATGTGCTAGGAATGTCACCCTCTCCCAGGGCCCTTGCAGTTGCACCCTTCCCCCCCACAACCCTCACCCCGTTCCTTTGGCCGCAGACATTATGCCTTGAGTACAGGCACAAGCAAGCAGGGTGGGTGCAAACATCCACACCCAGAACATTCACCTAGCCTGAGACACTTTCTGGAAGCCTCCCCTACCAGGCCAGCATTAGGGCCAGCATAAGGAGGCTGAGGGACTATGCCCAGAGCAGGAAGATTCACAACACAGGGGCACTAGAGCCACCCTCTGTACCCTCAAAGCCCAGCATCAGCCCCACAACACCCACTCACCCCAGGGCCCACATGGTAACCTTATCAGAAATATCTCCCCAATGCCCATTGAGGGCTAAACTCATGCATGACACACACAGGTTCAGGGTAATGTACACACCCCACAAACACACAGATTCGGTATACACCCTTACATGCTTAACTTTCAGGCTTTCCCACACAATCCAGACAGCACCTAAGGTACATTTAGGGTCCCACTGTGTGGATCATAACCATCCTCTTGTCCTTGCTCTCTCACAGCCCTAGCCACATCCAGGAACCCAAAGTTGGAGACACCTGCACACTCCATGCCATGCAGCCTCAAGGTGTCTCTGACACCCTCAGAAGCAGGAGAGGAACCTACTGCCTTCCCTGGAAAACCAGGCCCTTTGGCCCCAGGACCACAGCCCCCTGAGCACCAAGCCAAGAACCAAGCTCTGTCCCCATGTCCCATAGCCAGTGCCTCGGGTACACAGTACACAAGCCCCTGTTTGATTTGCACTCGACGATACACACGATCCGGGCACGCCCCCATCCATAACCAAAAGAGCTAGGCCCGACCGCAGAGCCCCCTCCCCAGCAGCCCCTCCCCCACTCACTCTGCCCCTCAAACTTGCGGATGATGGTGTCCAGGAAGGTATTCTGCGGTGCGACGTGGCCTCTCCGCACCGGCATCCTGAGCCCATGGGTGGGCCGGGCGGGCCCCCACCCACCCCAGCCCGGCCCGGCCCAACACTAGGCTTTGGGTGTCCCCGTCTGGCCGTGGTCCCCGCACCCACGGCCAAACTGAGCACCTGCGGGGCTGGGACTGGACTGTGGGTGCAGGGTCCGGGTTCAGCTCCCGGCTCGGGATCGCGGGCCCGGCCTGGAACCGCCAAGAGCTCAGGCCGCCCAGCTTCCCGCACACCTGTCTACAGATCCCTGCTGGGCCGCGGTTCCGTTCTGCCGCGTCCCTGCGCTGCGCTCCGCCCGCCCTACAGAGCGCTCCGCTCCCACCCGCCTGCCCGCCCGCCCGCCGCGCTGATAGCGGCTCTGGCGCCGGTGGCTCGGGCTGCTCCTGCGGCTCGGCCTGGCAACGGAGGGGTTAACGCGGCGAGCGCCCCTAGGCCCCGGCCCCCCTTCCCGACACCCCCTCCCGCGCCGGCAGCGCCGCCTTCCCCCTCCCCCTCGCGCGACAGCCTTTCTCATTGGCTGAGCACCGCCGAGAGCTCCCCCAACCCAGCCCCTTGCTCTGCCCAGGAGCCCAGGGACGCACCGGCATCGTCGAGGAGGAAGGGATCCTTAGGTTGGGGAGCCTTGAGGACAGGTGCGAGGGCCGGCCTTGAAGCGGCGGGGCGGGGGGAGGGGGGGGATGCTGCAGATTCCTCCCCCGTCTCCGGACCGAAGGGCTGAGAAACCTGATTTGAAGAGAGCGAGCCGGTCCCCTTATGCCCGGTGCCCTACCACGCCAACCACTGGCTTAGGTACAAACAGCATGCTCCCGGTGCCTGTTGGTGAGGTGACAGGGGTGAGGCCTGGCCCTTGGAAGACGGAGACCCGGGAAATGGGAAGGGCAAGGCAATCTGGAGGTTCCATGCCAGCCGCTATCTGGGATAAGGGTGGGTGAGATTTAGGAGGGTACGCACCCAGAACAGGGCGGCCCCCAACACATGTTTTCTGGGGTTAATAGGAGCCTTCCATGAAATATGAGCTGAGAGATTCTGACAGGAGTTGCTGCCTCCTGGCTGTGGCAAAAGAAGGGACCCGGAGAGCAAGATTCCTGCCTGGGGATTCCCCTGTGTGGACGGCTCGCTCTCCCCCGGCAACTCGGGGCCAGCCTCTCAGACCCAATCCGCTAACGCGGGGCCCTGCAGCAGTAGCGACAGCCTAACCCCACGAAAACGCTTGGCCTAGCCGCAGGCCCCTCCCCCTACGGCCAGCTGGCTCGCTCCAGCTGCAGCTCCCTTATTTAGACAAGGAAGCCTGAGGATGCTCAAGGGCAGGCAGGGTGTCTGCAGGCCGCCTGCCCACCGCCTGCCTGGGTCTGCGTGAGAGATTCCGGGACCGAGGTGTCCCCGGCCTGAGCAGCCAGGCAGGACCCAGGATGGCCTAGGCTGGAAAGCGAGTGTTGACAGCTGAGCGGGCTGCCAGCTGGGAGGAGTCGGCAGCTGAGCAGCCGGCCTTGGTCCCCACCCTGGCCCTGGGATCAGAGACCTATCTAGAAGGATGGGGCCATATGCCGACCCCTGCGGGCTTCCAGCTGCCTCTGTCCTTGAAGCAAGGGGTGGGTCTTGTCACCATGGAGGCCCATCTTGAGGTGTGGGGGAAGGAGAGGAACAAAGGGCAGAAAGAAGGAAGCTGAGTCTAAAAGGAGAAAGGCCCAGAGAGCGATGTTTTGGTGAGACAACCCTACCTCTTCCAGCCAAAGACAAAGAGATGGAAACACTGGGACCCTTGACCAGCAGATGACACTCCCTTCTTTATTTGCTGGTGGGTGGGCAGTGACTCAGGAAGGCAACCAGTGGGAGAAAAGGAGGTGGCTAAAAAATATGCTAAAAAAGACTAGAGACTCTTGCCTGTACAATCATCCCTTAGCCTCCCTCCACCTCCAGCAACTTCCTCACTCACACCCAAGATGCACAGGGTCTTCAGTGGCAGAGGCTTCCCCTTCATTTGTGACTTCATATCAGATATCAATACAGCTGGCTCCTGGAGTGGAACCCAGTATACAGTTGGCTCAGCCCTCTCCCTACCATGATGCCCTGGATGCTGGTTTACCTGTGATAAATACTGAAGGTTCACATATGAGTGAAGTTTCTTCCCCTCTTAATCAGGGAACTGAGAGAAAGAAAGGGTCTGTAGTGTGTAATACCAAAGCCAAACCAAACCCACTGCCATCAAGTCGATTCCAACACATAACAACCTCCAATGGGTTTCCAAGGCTGAAATCTTTACAGAAATAGATTGCCTCTTCTTCATCTCTTGGAGAAGCTGGTGGTTTTGAACCACTGACCTGGTTAGCAGCCAAATGCTTTACCCACTATCCCAAAAGAGAAAATGGAAAGGGATATCTGGAATTTACCCCATCTCTCCAGACCAGGGGGCCCACTCATCTGAACTTGTTAGCTGTCCTCCCAGGAGTGGCACCTATGTGTGGGACAGGCTTCTACTTTTATCCCAAAGAGAGGACACAGGAGTCAGAGTAATGAACCCTCAGTCCTACCCAAAGAGAGAAAACCAGGCAAAAGAAAAAGGCTGTATTTACAGTGAGATACATAGGCTCCTCCCAGCTTCCAAGAAGAGACAATGTAGAGAGAAAATTCTGAAGAAAACATCCTACCCACCCCATCTCTACTCATGCTCAACCTGAGGAAGGAAGCCAAGCCAGGACTTCCTGGGAGGAAAAAGAAATTGAAGCCTGCCTCTGCTGGTAGGGCCCCAAGGAACAGGCAAGACAAGGCACAGAGTCAAGCCCAGGAGAGCAAGTGATAGTCACAGGGGACTGGGAAGCAGTTCCAGGCAGATGCATGCAAGAGAGATGGAGGAATGGCTCCTCGGGAATCCCTGGAGAGGAAGAAGCAGCAAGATACTCCCTTGGTGTTCAAGGGAAAGTTTAGATTGCATGTGGGCCTTGTTTTTCTGCACAACTGGGTTCTAAGGATAGAGATGTTTTCAGATAGGAACTGGGACTGGAGGAGAGGAAAATCAAAGAAAATCATATTTCCCTTCCAGAAGTGGGTGCTCAGGGTTTGTTGAGGGGAGGGAAGAAAGAGAAAGGTGGGAAGGAGAGAGAATGGAGGGAGAGAGAGAGGAAAGGACCACCTATGTTAAACCAATAACCAGGAGGCCAACTCCTTGCTCATTGCCACCTTCAGCTCCACACAAAGAGATGCTCTCAACCCTTGGCTCATAACCAAGGTCTTCTTCCACCAGTTTGGCATTCACCATTGACATTTTCCCTGGCTTGGTGTCAAAAGAAGCAAGTAAGGTGCTGGAGACTAGGATTCTGGGTCCCTGACTTCTAATTCTGGTTCTGCTACTAGTCATATCAACAGATATTTACTGAGGCCTTCTATGTACTGGGCTCTGTGCCAAATGTGGTGGGGGAACAGGGGAAAAGCCAAGATCCCTCCTCCAGGGATTCAGCCTAGCAGAGGCCTAAGAGAAGCAGTGGGCAAACACTGTACAGTCTGCAGTGAATGCTATAGGATTACATTTCCAGCTGGAATCTGTGCAGGCCTTGTGAGGGAAGGAGGAAATGGTTTCAGAGCAGTGCCCTGAAGGCAAAGATGGAGCAGGGCAGAAGCATTGAAGGTAGAGGAGAAAACATGAGCAAAGTCATAGACACTGGTGGATGGAAGTCATTTCAGGAAAAACCATTTGGTGCAGTGACAGTAGAGCAGTAGTCTAGGGCCATTTGCAGAGGGCTGAGGAGTATGAAAGGAAATCTTGTGGCGCTGTGGTTAAGTACTCATCTGCTAACCAAAAGGTCAGCTGTTTAAACCTACTAGCTGCTCCATAGGAGAAAAAAAAAAAGTGGCAGTCTGCTTTCATAAACATTTACAGCCTTGGAAACCCTCTGGACAGTTCTAATATATATGGTCCTACATGGTCACTGAGTCATAATCCACTCAATGGCAAGGATTTGGTTTTTGGTTTGGAGCAATGTGAACATTATTCTGTGTGCAAGGGGCCACACTGAAGGAAGTATGGTGGCAGCTGAACATATTCTCCATGAATGTAGAAGTCCTGTCTGTCTTTGTACAGATCCTAGCATATAGTAGCCATCCAAAAAAGGTTTGTTGAGTTAATGAAACATGTACAACAGTTTGGAGAAACTGAGGCAGATATGAGGTGTTGTTTCAGTTATCTATTGCTGCCCATCAGCCATCCCAAAACCCAATGACTTAAAGAAACAATAGCATTTATTTTGCTCATAGATATGCACTTTAGTTAGGGTTCACAGGAATCGTTGTCTCTGGTCCATTCAGGATTGGACATTGGAAGGCTCATTCACTCAAGTTTGGTAGTTGGGCTGGTTGTCAGTAGGGACTTCAGCAAGGGCTGTGTCCAGAATACCTAGGTGAGGCTTTTCCATGTGGCTGAATGTCTTCCTCACAGCATGGTGCCTCCTTCCCAAGGACCAGTGTCCCAAGTGAGGACTAGGAAGAAGCTGTACCACCTTTTATTACTTAGCCTTGAAAGTCACATCAAATAACTTCTGCCATAATCATGCCCATCCAGTATCAAGGAAAGGGAAATGACCCTCACCTCTCAATGGAGGAATGTCCCTGTTATGTTTAAGAAAAGCATGTGTGATGGATAGATATATTGGCACAACCACCTTTGAAAAATACCGTCTGCCACATGAAGCTATTCTGTAGTCCAAAGGAGAGATAATGAAGACTTAAACCAGGTCAGAAGTGATTGAAACATTTGTTCTGTTACTTTAAGAGTTTCACCTAATCTCATTGCCTATAAAATGAGGTGATAAAATACACCAATATCTAAGCTCCCTTCCAGCTCTGCCAATGAATGATTCCTGAACTCTATACAATCACACTCCTCCATTTTCCTTCAGTGTCTGTCTCCACCTCCACCTTCTGCCTCTGCTCTATCATCCTGGGTGCCCTTGGAGCCAATGGTTACTCCATCCCAAATATTTACTTCAGACAAAAAATTAGTGGAGTCAGACTAAAAAGTGGATTAGGAGCCCCTTAAGGATACATGCCAAGACCCTCAGGACAAGAATGGTCAGGCAAAGAGCATTTATTGAGCACCTGCTATGTGCTCATCACTGTAAGCTCTAAAGGAAACAAACATGACACAGTTTCCATCCACAAAGAGTTCATTATTTAACTGGGGAGAGAAACTAATGGACACAAAATATCATGAAAGTAAGTTGATGTGACACTGTACTACTGACCTGTGCAGAGAAGCTCAAAGGAGAAAAAGCTCTGTGTGGACTGGAGTGGCCAGAAGGACTTCCTGGGGAAGGTAGGCCCTCCTGTATGGTATGAGTTTTCTCAGGTACAGAAGAAAATGAACATCTTCATGAAGCAAGATCCCAATAGGGGTAAGCCATAGAGTCCTCCCACCA